CATATTAGTTTAATTTCCTCATATAAATTATGTGTTTTTTGAGAGCAAGCATCTGAGTTGCATTTCAAGCTTTTTTTCAGAATGTTTGGCAGCTTAGCATCATTCTAAACATGTAGTAGCTGATCAGTAGATGTTTTAGTAGCCAGACATCAGGGGACATTGGAGAGTGAATGCATACTCCATGTGGGCAGGAGTTTTTCTCTGCTGTACTCAACAGGTGTATTCGTGGCGCTTAGAACAATACCTAGCACATAGGAATTCAATAAAAGTAGAATGAAAGAATGAATGAATGAGAAGGTAGTAGTGGTTTTTCATCTAGAAGTAGCAAAACCAATTCTTACTAGTTAGAGTTTTCATCCTTGAAAATAAGATATGGCATCAAGCATCAGTAAGACATTTCTGCATTCAATGCAGAAATTAGGAGATTAGAGACTACATACAAGAGATGAAGCTGAGAAATAGCATACTTTCAGTTTAAGTATACATTCTTGAACTCAGGTTTTATATTTTCAAACACGAAAGAAGGCTGGTATAGTGAACTTGCATTTACCTATCTCTCGACTTCATTTACTAACATTTTGTCAGTCTTATTTAACTAAGGTTTGCTTTCTCTTTCTTTTTTTATTCTTCCTGTTTTGCCGTTTACCAATTCCTGGCCATTTTCCTTTGTTGTGTTTCATTTTTTGGTTTTCTCTAACCCTTCACTGTGAAATGATAAGGATATTTTTCAAATTGATCTTTCTACATCTACCCTTTTCTGACTTTCTAATTGATTTTATATACTGCTGCTATGTTAATTTTCACCTCAGATCACTTTTAAATGTTATCTTGCGTAAAGGGGAAACTCTCAACTCCTTATCTGGAAGTTTGAGAACCTTCTTAATTCGAGTCCACTTTAATCAGCTTTATATCCCCTCATCTTTAGCATAGATAGATCCTCACCCCATGTAAATCCTCATCCATGCATAGATCTCTCCATCCAGTCATCCATCCATCTCTTCAGTGAACAAATGGCATATATAATCAAAGAAGGTATAGCCTTTGTTCTCAATGAGCATATATATATATTTTTTTTGAGATGGAGTTTCGCTCTTTTTGCTCAGGCTGGAGTGCAATGGTGCTCTCCCAGCACACTGCAACCTCTGCCTGCCAGTTCAAGTGATTCTCCTGCCTCAGCCTCCCAAGTAGCTAGGATTATAGGCATGTGCCACCATGCCCAGTTAATTTTTGTGTTTTTAGTAGAGAAGGGGTTTCACCATGTTGATCAGGCTGGTCTCGAACTCCTGACCTCAGGTGATCCGCCCTCTTTGGCCTCCCAAAGTGCAGGGATTACAGAAATGTGCCACCACACCCAGCCTAGCATATCATATTTTATAAAATCTAAATATATTAACTTCATTTGCCAGGTATACATGCAGGTTTTAAAAGAAGTGCTGCAGATTTTGTGAGTCTTTATCTACTTTTTTGCAGCAGAATTTAATATGGCTTTGAATTTAGATATACTTGTTTGTTTTTCAAACAGAGGCAAAAGAATCTAAGGATAATAAGGAGGTATCAAGTCCTGATGATTTGGAACTTGAGTTGGAGAATCTAGAAATTAATGATGACACCTTAGAGTTAGAGGGTGGAGATGAAGCTGAAGATCTTACAAAGAAACTTCTTGATGAGCAAGGTAAAGAACTGTTTCACCGACTTTCCTTTTTGACTGCTTTTCACACAGACCTCTTGCCTACGAATATAGATCTTTTCTCCTTAATTCTGTATTTTGTAATTCCTTGTTTTTCTGTTGTTTTCAGTCCATCACTGTTTTTGGAATTTGATTTATAACAGCACTACATACCACAGTATTATGTGTCTGTGAACTTTAGTGATCATCTTAATTTTAAAAATATTAGTTCTAAATATCTTAAATTATATTTTTCTTGCTGTCCCTTCTATGATGGAAAAAAGATACTTATACTTTTCTGAGAACTTGCTAGCATTCTCCTGATTGATTTGATTCTACGACATTATCTTTACAAATAAATGTATTTGAAAGTTATTCTGAAATGATTAATGGGTGGGAATACAATTAGATTGCCAGTTCATCTGTTAATTTTATCTGTCTTTATGATTGAGTTGCATTTTGTATTTAGTAATACAAATATTACATTTATTCCCTAAATACTTCCTATCGAGTTTTGAGTTGATTAGCTAGGATTCTCTTTCTTATTCATTTATTTATTTATTTATTTATTTATTTATTTTGAGACAGGACTTCACTCTTGCCCAGGCTGGAGTGCAGTGGCATGATCGTAATTCACTACAGCCTCAAACTCCCAAGCTCAAGTCATCCTCCTCCCTCACCCTTCCAAGTAGCTGCGACTATAGACATGCACCCCAACACCTAGCTAATTTTATTTTATTTTATTTTACATTTTGTAAAGACTGGGTCTTGCTCTGTTGCCCAGGCTGGTCTTGGACTCCTGGCCTCAAGCAATCCTCCCGCCTCAGCCTCTGAGGGCCCTGGCATTATAGGAATGAGCCACCATGCCTGGCCAAGATTCTTTATTAGAAGGACAGCTTCTGTCAATATTGCTTTTTTCTCTGTTGGCTTTATCTTATTGCAGATTCTTTCTCTGTGTAATCCAGGGAGGACAGGTATGGCTGGAGGCTACCCCAGGCTTTATACTCACTAATGACATCAGAGGAAAAATAATTTTTCTCCCACAGTCTGTATATAAATATCACAGAAAGAGTCTGGCAGGTCTTGTGTTCTGCTCACCCATGTGGCCAAGAGAAATGGTTATGTGTTGTACTTTGATTGGCAGTAGCCACCCCACTCAGAATGACATGGAATAGGGGGGCTTAGTTCTTCAAAGGCAAGAATTGGGAGTGCTGTTAATTGAAGAACATTGGGGAAGGGAGGCTAGGCAGATACAAATAACATTTACTATAACACTGCATGCTTTTTCTGACCAAGGTTTTGTGTCTAATGCAAAAAGTGACTTTTTATATTGATACCTGAAAGACTGTAGTGAGTTGATGTGATGATTCTAGAGTTACCTAAACATTCTAGGATAGTATCCTAAGAAATGACTAATGTTTTCCTGGGCACAAAAATGGGTCTAGATGATCTGTTTTAGAAATAATTCATTGGATGTTTTCTGTGTTCTCTGATTATTTTTTTAACCTATTTACAAACTAATTTTACATTAGAACAAGAAGATGAGGAAGCCAGCACTGGATCTCATCTCAAGCTCATAGTAGATGCTTTCCTACAGCAGTTACCCAACTGTGTCAACCGAGATCTTATAGACAAGGTATTGATGTCTCTGTAACTTTACTCAAGCACATAGACCTTGTAGGAGTCCTCTGATAAGAATGTCTATGGTTTTCTGAGTATTTGGGCTCTAACCATTTCTTCAAATGAAGTCTTAGTAAATCAGCAGAAGCAGACACAATTGGATCTAATTCGTAGATCCTCTGGCTATAGAATTGGCTCTAGCATCCTGTCCTTTTCATACATGGATCCCAAGGTTCGTAAAATATTGTTTTGGATCAAAGGTGCTAAATGTATGGTCTCTGGATTCCTAGCGGCTTTTGAGGCACTTGCTGGGGTTCTGTGAAGTCAAAATTGTTTTGAAGATAATAAATACTAAGATTTTCTTTTTTCTTTTTTATGGTTTTGATAATTTGCAAAGTGATGGTGGGTAGAACTGCTGGCATTTTAGCATGATTCAAGGTAGTGGTACCAAATTATACTAGTACTATATTACATTTTTCACTGCCATGCATTTGCAATTTAAAAAAATCTGTGCCACTTTCACTTAAGAGTCTCCTTGGTGAGTCCATAAAAATGAGTGGTTTTTTTTGTTTTTTGGTTTTTTTTTGAGATGGAGTCTCACTCGGGCTGGAGTGCAGTGGTGCGATCTTGGCTCACTGCAGCCTCTGACTTCTGGGTTCAAGCAGTTCTCCTGCCTCAGCCTCCTGAGTAGCTGGGACTACAGGCATACACCACCACATCTGGCTAATTTTTGTATTTTTAGTAGAGACGAGGTTTCCCTATGTTGGCCAGGCTGGTCTCGAACTCCTGACCTCAGGTGATACACCTGCCTCAGCCTCCCAGAGTGCTAGGATTACAGGTGAGCCACTGTGCCCAGCCAAGGAGTGATTTTTATTACGTTTCAAGTGGAAAACCACTTGAGCCTGGGAGATCAAGGCTGCAGTGAGCCATGATTGCTCCACTGCATCCCAGCCTGGGTGACAGAGTGAGACCTTGTCTCAGAAAAACGTCTGTCCAGGTGGTAATGGTCATCTAAGTAAATTCCTCATTTTATGAAATTTTAGACAGGGGATTGAGGACAGTTGAGTTTCTTTTGGAAGAATTCTCCTCTGTCAGTTAAGACATCTTGGAGAGAGAGCACCCTTTCTTGCACTTGGGAAGAGAAACAAAGGATAGTCAGAGACCTTGACTGAGGCCGCTTATCAGGCTTTCCAACTGTCTTAGTTTAAATGAAGTACTCAGCATTCCAAAGAGCCATATATGGGCTATCCTTTTCTAAACCCTAACATTACCAAATGTTACTGTTGGCACTAAACTTTTTTAGTGAATGTGGGGCACACTTCTTATTCTTACATCTTCTTGAGTATAATTTGTGCCTGTCTCTTTCTCTTTCCTCAGTCACCTCTACTGCTTTTTGGTTATCCTTATTCTCATTAGTAATTTTCTTGGCTCTTGGTAACCAGTCTTAATACTTTCGAGTTTTATCAAAAACTTTTCTGATGCTAACAATACTAGTTTCTTAAAACCATTTTGAAATGTTTAAGAACAAATAAAATTATTGTAGTAGGCAGGATTTCTGTTTTCAGTAACTATTATAGAGGTTTTTAAAGAAAAAGTTTACTTTTTCCCAATAGGCAGCAATGGATTTTTGCATGAACATGAACACAAAAGCCAACAGGAAGAAGTTGGTACGGGCACTCTTCATAGTTCCTAGACAAAGGTAAGTGTTATAAAAGAGAGGTTTATTAGTGTTTTTACGCTGTAGTGATGGTTGTAAGATCAAACTTCTTATCTCTTTAAAAATCTTGCTTGTCTTTTGATTTTATTCGCTCTGTAGGTTATTAGCATTATTAGCATATTTCTTAGAACTTGTTTCCCGTTAATTTTTGTTCATTGCTTGTTAGCTCTAATGGGAATATTTCTTCTGATACCTAATTATTTTAAAAGAAAATGTTTAAGAGTAGCTTAACAAGAAGAATTGCTAGAAGCAGTTGGTTTGCATTTTTGCCTCTGAGGAAAAAGTAGTAAATGGAACATAAAATTTTAGGAGAGTTTTTATTTTGTGCAAAGATCAGACTAATGTAATATATTTTGTCCTCGGATTTGTGTTTAAATGAAAAATTTCAAGTTATTTAGGTAATTATGACAGTTTAGAGGTGTGATAGCCTGCCTAGAGACTCATTGGATAGAATTGGAAGTCACAGTAATGATTATGTCACCAGTAATTAAAGATGCATATTCAGTGGCATAATGCTTTTAGAGAATTCTGATACATTATATTCACTAAACTAAAACTTCTACTTGACCTGCTATTTCAGGAGCACTCATAGACTGTTGACCTTAGAAACCTGGAGATCTATTTCTGTTTATTCAACAATGAATAATTAAAGAATTTTGTAAACTATTAAGATGATTACATATGACATAGCTAAGACAGATACTTTCCCCAAAAGATAAGGATTCTGAGGGATTTCATTGAAGGTTTCTTTAGCAAAATTTTAGTGTGGTCCATTCATTGATGGAGGCCCGTGATCTCTTAATAATGGTAAGATTTCTCAGTGAAACCAAATCACTATTTGTCTTTTTTCTTTCATATTAGTTTTTTAATCTCCTGTTAGCATTATTAATTCATTTTAGTGGTTCAAGGGAGAAGGAATGTGTTAATGTAGTGAGTAGATAATTAAGAATTATGCACTTGAGGAAGTCATATGTATGAATATTTTTATAACATAAAATTACATACTTCAGGCCAGGCATGGTGGCTCACACCTATAATCCCAGCACTTTGGGAGGCCAAGGTGGGTGGATCATTTGTGGTGAGGCATTTGAGACCAGCCTGGCCAGCATAACAAAACCCCATCTCTACTAAAAATACAAAAATTAGCAGAGTGTGGTGGTGTGTGCCTGTAATCTCAGCTATTTGGGTGCCAAGGCAAGAGAATCTTTTGAACCTGGGAGGTGGAGGTCATATTTATCCAAGATTGACCTCAGGTGATCCACCTGCCTTGACCTCTCAAAGTGCTGGGTTTACAGGCGTGAGCCACTGCACTCCATCCTGGGCGATGGAGTGAGACTTTGTCTCAAAAAAAAAAAAAAAAAAAAACAGGGCCGGGCGAAGTGGCTCACGCCTGTAATCCCAGCACTTTGGGAGGCCGAGGTGGGTGGATCACGAGGTCAAGAGATTGAGACCATCCTGGTCAACATGGTGAAACCCTGTCTCTACTAAAAATACAAAAAATTAGCTGGGCATGGTGGTGCATGCCTGTAATCCCAGCTATTCGGGAGGCTGAGGCAGGAGAATTGCCTGAACCCAGGAGGCGGAGGTTGCGGTGAGCCAAGATGGCGCCATTGCACTCCAGCCTGGGTAACAAGAGCAAAACTCCGTCTAAAAATAAACAAAAACAAACAAAAAACATATATATGTGTGTGTGTACTATATATGTATGCATATATGTATGTATACTTCATTTAATAGAATTTAAGGCGCTGACAGTTATGATGTATACTATTACGTACAACTAGAAAATAAAAAATATTCTCCATTAATTTTAAGGCTTTGATTTTAAGACACAGTCCACTTTCATGTATATGAAAATGGGAGGAAGGCTGGGTGCAGTGTCTCATGCCTGTAATCCCAGCACTTTGAGAGGCCAAGGTGGGTGGATTGCCTGAGATCAGGAGTTTGAGAGCAGCCTGGCCTACATGGTGAAACCCTGTCTCTACTGAAAAGACAAAAACTTACCTGGTGTGGTGGTGGGTGCGTATAATCCCAGCTGCTTGGGAGGCTGAGGCAGGAGAATTGCTTGAACCCAGCAGGCAGAGGTTGTAGTGAGCTGAAATCGCACCATTGCACTCCAGCCTGGGCCACAAGAGGGAAAAAAAAAAACTGGGTGGGGGGAGGTATACCTGGAATAGATGAAAATTCAAATTTTTTTTCTCTCAGTATCTTGGACTAATTTTTTTCAAGTGAGTCTTTTCTTTACCTTGTACAATGAAATGTTTTCTTAATTTTTTTTTCACTTGGTTATTTGAATGAAGAAAAGTGTAGCAACAATTATCTGAACTTATTTTTGTTGCAACATTTATTGCATAGAATAAAGCTAGCAAAAATAAAAGGCTTGGTTAACAAAAGAAACCGTGTGGTTTAGTAATTTGCTTATGAAACAGCATCTTCTCCCTGAAGACCCGTTCCTGCCCCACAGAAAGTCCTCAGAAAGCATGTACTATTATTTAGTCTTATTCCAGTAGTATTCTTTATAATGGAATTTATCTGCTTAGCTCAGGAGATAAAAAAGCTACAAATCAGTAGCAGTTAGAAATACAAACTTGAGGCTGGGCGTGGTGGCTTACGCAGGTAATCCCAGCATTGGGGAGGCTGAGGCAGGAGGTGGATCACTTGAGGTCAGGAATTTGAGACCAGCCTGATTAACATGATGAAATCTCATCTCCACTAAAAATACAAAAAATTAGCTGGTCGTGGTGGTGCATGAAGCTGTGGCAGGAGAATCGCTTGAACCAAGGAGGCAGAGGTTGCAGTGAGCCAAGATCACATTATTGCACTCCAGCCTGGATGACAGAGCAAGATTCCATCTCAAAAAAAAAAATTAGTATGAAGTGACAGTTTATCACAAATATTAAAAAATGACAAGTATTCTAGAGCCATGAGAAATAGCTCTCAGTCTTACATATTTTAAGTATATTATAATCAGCCTGATAATCAGGAAAGATTAAGTTATTCTAAAATTTATTCATTAAATAATTCAATAAGGGTCTGCTGTGTACTTGGTGAAAAAGATCATCTTAGTTCCTGAATTCACACAGCTTAATTTGGAGAGGAAGACAGAGGAGTTGTAAGTGCCTTTGTCAAGAAGAGAAGCACAGTGTGCTTTGAAGCATAGTGTCAGGTGGAACTGATTGAGTCTGAGGAGTCAGAGAAGATTGTCTGGAACAAGGGTCATTTAATCTGAGTCCTGAGAAGAATTTACTAGATACGGGATGGGTGGAGAATGGGAATGTAGGGAGAGCATTGTTGACAGAGGCAACAGTATGTGGAAATAGACAAAGACAGGAAAGGTCATGGCATCAAATTCTTGGTCAAACTTCTTTCTTAAATTTCTTGACATTGTCCGCTAGACTATAAGCTGCAGGAAGGAGGCCATGTTTACTTCTTTATACCCAGCACATAGCACAATGCCTATCATGTAAAAGTTGATAAAATTAAGTAACATGATAGGTAAGGCCCTTTCTTAACCAGATGGTTTTCAGCTTCTTCAGTCTTAATTCTAGCCATTCTTCCTCCTGCAGAATCTTTATCTGTAATGATTTCTCAAATACCGTTTGCTCTCTCTACTTTCATACCTTTGCTGCTGCTTTCTGCTCTATCTGGGATGTCCTTTATTTTGCCACTGGAAATCTTTGACTCACCCTTTAAGTCTTTCACAAGAGCTATCATCTATGAACAGCCTTCTTTTTTTCCCTTATGTAGATAAAGATGTTCTTTATAGCACTTTCAATGTGTCTCCTTATGAAGAATTAGGCGCATTATATTCTAGTTGTGGATTTGCTTCCTGTCTCTCTGCCAGACTTGAAACTATCAGCTCTTTAGGAATGAAGACTCGATTTTTTCGTTTTGTACATCTCCAACACCAAGTATAGTGTTTGGCTTACAGTCCAAGCTTAAAATATGTGATGAATTAAATATTGGTCGTATGCAATTTTAAATAATAAATAATGCAGCCTTATCGCTCATAGTCCAAAAGTATAAAACATTATATAATGAAAAGTATTCTTCCTATCCTTGCCTTCCCATCTCCTCAATTTCCACTTATCCCAGTAGGAAATCAGTATCTTGCTTATGTATTCTCCCAAAGATTCTTTTTCGTATACAAGAAAATACAATTATAGATTCTTATTTCCTGTTTTTAACACAATGGGCAGCTTATACATGTCTTTTCATCTCAGGACATAAGGATTTCCCTTGTTCGTTATTTTAAAGCTGCAGTGTTCCTTTTGATGAATGCACTGTATTTAATAGTTTCAGACTTTCCAGTCTTTTGCTGTTACAAACAGTGCCGTATTTGAATTCGTACTTCCTTTCTCCTTGTGGTTATGTTCACTAGTGGTTTACCTATTCAGTTTTTTCCTTCCAAAAACCCAGCTTTTAGATTTATTATTTATTCTGTTGAATGATTTTCTTACTGTTATTTTTGGCTTTGTTCTTTATTAATTCCTTCTTTTGTTTTTTTTCTGTTTCTTTTGTTTTTTTTTCTCTCTCTCTTTTTCTTTTCTGGCTCTTCATATATGTGTTGTCCATTGAGCATGGTTTAAGCCATGTCTCTTGGTTTCTTTTTTAGAGAGTCTCGCTCTGTCGCCCAGGCTGGAGTGCAGTGGTGAGATCATGGCTCACTGCAGCCTTAACCTCCAGGCTCAAACAATCCTCTCATGTCAGCCTCCCAAGTAGCTTGGACCACAGGCATGCACCACCATGTTTGGCTAATTTTTACATTAAATTAAAAAAATTTTTTTTTCGGTAGAGTCAGGGTCTTGTTGCATTGACCAGGTTAGTTGTGAATTCCCAGACTCAACCAGATCCTCCTGCTTTGGCCTCCCAAAGTGCTGGAATTCCAGGCATGAGCCACTGTGCCTGCCCGACATGTGTTAATTTTAGTTTGGTTTCCTTTGTGACCCAAGGAGTTGCTAGAGTTTCAAAATTTCCAGGTAGGGGTTTTTTTTTTTTTTGTTTGGTTTGTGGCTTTGTCAATAATTCATATTTTTATTGTATTTTGATTAGATTATACTTTTTTATTTTTGGGGATTTTTGAAGTTTACTTTGTCTCTGATTATATAGTCAGTTTTTATGAACATTCTGTGGGCATTATAAAAACATATTTTTGTTTTTATGGTACAGAGTTAAATGTATTGATCAAGTTTACATGACTAAATAATAATATCTATCTTTTTACCTTTTCAGTCCATGTGCCCACACATCATGGCCTGAGAGGTAGATGAAATACTGTGATTCTGATATGTTGCATCTCACCTAATAACTACTACAATTTCAGCTTTCTAAATATTACTGTTGCATTATTTGTTGTACAGATAAAACTTAAGTGTGAATTACATACATCTTTTATCATTATAAGGTGTTGTTCTTGGTCTTATTTAGGGCCTTTTGGCCAGAATTCCAACTCATCTGGTATTAATGATTATATGATTGCTGCTTTTTTTTTTTTTTTTTTTTGAGATGGAGTCTCGCTCTGTCACCCAGGCTGGAGTGCAGTGGTGCAATCTCTGCTCACTGCAGCCTCCACCTCCTGATCCTGGGTTCAAGCGATTCTCCCGCCTCAGCCTCCCAAGCAACTGGGATTACACAAGTGCATCACCACACCTGGCTAGTTTTCTGTATTTTTAGTAGAAACATGTTTTTCTTTACCATGTTGACCAGGCTAGTCTTGAACTCCTGACCGCAAGTGATTCACTCGCCTTGGCCTCCCAGAATGCTGGAATTACAAATGTGAGCCACCGCACCCAACTGCTGCTTTCTTTTTATTTGCATTTTGCTTGGTATACCTGTGCACTTTATTTTATATTTTGTCTTTCAGAATAATTTTATTTTAGTCGAGTCTCTTTTATATACAATTGACTTGAACTTTACTCAGACCTATTCTGAAAATATGTTTCTTTTAATGAAAGTAAGGCTGCTTATGATTGGCTTATGTTCTGTAATGTTTTCCCTTTTGTTTTAATTCCTAAAAGTCTTTCATTATGTGGTCTTCTATATTTTTTAATTTAGTGTGCATGCATGAGTGTGTTTTCTGATTTTAGGAAGATTTGTATTTTTATTTTAGGACTTTTTTTTTTTTTTTTTTTTTATTTTTAAGATGGGGTTTCACCCTGATGGCCAGGCTGGTCTTGAACTCCTGACCTCTGGTGATCCACCCACCTTGGTCTCCCCAAATGCTAGGATTACAGGCGTGAGCCACTGCACCCGGCCAGGACTTTATTACTGTAAGTTTGTTTAGTGATTATTTAGACAGTCTCTGTTGCTTTCTGCCATGAGCAATGGTAAGATTAGTTTGTGGTCTCTTCTTACTCTCTTTGACTAAAGAGAGTAACTTATCTGATATTAATTTTTCTCCCTTGATGTTTTCCTTTTTACTCTTAAATGTGCTTATTCTTGTATTTGAGTGATATTTAACTTTCAGCATTACAAGTAGGCAGCAGCACAATTGACTTTGTCAGCTTTTCCATCCCCCCCCCCACTTTATTTTTATGTTGGTGACATATCCTGATCAGGAATAAAACATTTACATTAATATTTCTCACTTAATGCACTTATTTGCTGAGGTTCATTTTCTTTTTTTCTTTCCTTTTTTTTTGAGACTGAGTTTCTGCTCTATTGGCCCAGACTGGAGTGCTGTAGCACGATCTGGGCTCACTGCAACCTCCACCTCCTGAGTTCAAGCAATTCTCCTGCCTCAGCCTCCCGAGTAGCTGGGATAATAGGCATGTAGCACCACGCCTGGCTAATTTTTGTATTTTTAGTAGAAATGGGGTTTCACAATGTTGGCCAGGCTGGTCTCAAATTCCTGACTTCAGGTGATCTGCCCACCTCAGCTTCCCAAAGTGCTGGGATTACAGGTGCCACTGTGCCTGGCCTTAAGTTCATTTTCTAATAGTTTTCTCAAAAACCGTTCTTGGGGAAAAAATACGCCTTGAATTCCTCTATGTTCAGAACGATGGAGTTGGGCTATTTTACTTGAATGGCACCTTGACTGGTTATAGTATAGGATCCACAGCTCATAGTTTTTAACCCTAAATATCTTGTAGGTGTTGCTCAGGGGTCATTTGGCATTTGGCATTACTGTGGTGAAATCTGAGGCCAGGCTGCCTTTTTTTCCCCCCCTCCCTTAAAATTGACTTGGTTATTTAAATGGCTGCCCAAGTAATTCTTTCTCTAATCAAGTAAATGAAATAACTTTCCTAGGATAGATATGTGTTGGTGTTGATCATTCTGGGTCATTTTTCATGCCCTTTCAAGAAATTTTCATATTGAAAAATTCAGGGAATTTTTTGGATTTTTTTTCCCTCAAATATATTTAAATGCTAGTTCTGTTCTCTTGTTTCGGTTTTCTTTTCTAAGTACTCCGATGATGCATATGTTGACTGTGCTTTGCTTATTTTCTGGCTATTTTCTTCTTACCAATCACTTTTTTCAGTGTCATCTTTTTCTTACTCAGCATTCTCTAAAGTCTTTTCCCTCTACTACGCTATCATTTCTTCTTTCAGTTCTTCCAGTTTTCTAAAAAGTCATGGAAAACTGGCCAGAATTTTCATATATTTCATGGCAGTATGTTTCTGGTGAATTCTGTTTGATAGGTTTTGAGGAATTTGTCCTTTTCTTTCTAATTTTTTATTTTTATTTATTATTATTATTTATTTTATATAGAGATGGGGTCTCACCATGTTGACTAAATTGGTCTCAAACTCCTGACCTCAGATGATCCACTTGCCTTGGCCTCCCAAAGTGCTGGAATTACGGGCATAAAAGCCACCGTACCCGGCCTTCTTTCTCATTTTTTTAATTAAAAAAAAATGGACAGTACCTTTGCATTGATGTTATACTTACCCTCTTTTTATTATGTATCATGAGTTAGATTTGCCCAGCCCTGTGAATAACAAGTTTCTCTTTAAAGGGCATATTGTTGCTGTCAGTTCTGATGTTGGTTGCTTTGGGGGCCATTTTCCTGTTCTACATTGGCACTGCATTTCCTCATGGAGCTTTTGCTCAGCCTTTGCCCTTCCTTTTGAGACACAAAGCTTTTGTTGTATGTCAGGAATATAGGTCTATCACTGAAAAATAGAATTTGAGGATAAGTGGTCAAACTACAGAAAAACAATGTCTTGATCATTGAAAGGAGTGTGTTGGTTGCATTATTGAAGATCTTCCCTGTGTGGGCCAGCTTTCCCTTTTCTTTTCACTTTGAATCCTGCTGTTATTTACCTTGAAGCAAATTTGGACAGATTTGGTGGCTTCAATCAGACTTTTTTTTTCAAAGTTCATGTTTTCTTTACATTACTATCATTCTAGCTTCCTTTAAATGAAAAACGATTTTCACCTTTATTGGTGTCGGCCATTACTTTTCCTGAGAAAATAAGCCAGGATAGGCTAGGGATGTTGAAGGAAGCACACACCTCTGAAATCTTAGGTTCTTGACATCCTCTGGGTTTGGTGGGCTCCCTGTGGGATTTGGAAAGCCAAGGCTTCTATTTACAGATCCGTAAAAAGATGTAATAGGGAGGGACTCGGACCAGGTTGATGTTTCCTAGTTGGCTGTAGATTTTTACTGATCAGAAACGCCTTTCATTTTGCAGGTCTTCTCTTGTCCTTCACTCCCAGGTGTATTTTTACCCTACCTGCAGGATTTAGCTTATCCCTGAGAGGGGTGCTTTGATCCCTAGGGAGGCTGGAGTAGAAAGATAGTAATCAAGTGCCAGTCAGTTTTCTGTCATCTTATTTCTCATTCTTACAGACCCAATATATTCACACAGCTCTTTCTTTTTTGAATGAAAGTGATGACTGATAGTCCTCAAGCGGGGATATAGGGGAGTAAGGAGAGTTGAGTGTAGAGTGCAGGCTGGGATATTCTCCTGGATAGGCATTGAAGTGGTATTAGAGGTAGCAAGTTCCTCCGAGTCTTTGGCACTTGGGGCAGTCGGGAACACTTTCGGAGAGGGGCCTTTTGGCATCCTGGCCTCGCTCTCCACCCACACTCTCCCAGCCTGTTTGGGGCTCCTTTAGTCAGATGCTCGTCCTCTCTGTGGCATGCTGCGGAGAGGCCAAGGCAGGAGGATGGCTTGAAGCCAGCCTGGACAACATAGTGAGACCCCATCCTCTACAAAAAATAAAATAAGCCAGGCTAGGGGCATATACCTGTAGTCCCATCTACTTGAGAGGCTAAGGTGTGAGGATCACTTGAGCCCAGGAATTTGAGGATCTCACCACTGCACTCTAGCCTGGGTGACAGAGTGAGACTATATCTCTAAGAAAATTTAAATAATAAACACAGCATAAAAGTATTTATATAGCATTTACATTTTATTAGGCATTATAAGTAATTTGGTATCTGTGGGGGGCAGTTCCTGGAACCAGTCTTCGGGAGGACTGTATTTCCCTAATGACTAATGATGTTGAACATCTTTTCATGTGCTTATTGGCCATTTGCATATCTTCTTTGGAGAAATACCTGTTCACAACCTTTGCCCCTTTAAAACTGTATTTGTCCTCTGGGCATGGTGGCTCCTGCCTGTAATTCTAACACTTTGGGAGGCTGAGGCGGGCAGATCACCTGAGGTCAGGAGTTCGAGACCAGCCTGGCCAATATGGTGAAACCCCATCTCTACTGAAAATGAAAAAAAAAAAAAGTAGCCAGGTGTGGTGGTGGGTGGCTTTAATCCCAGTTACTCAGTAGGTTGTGACAGGAGAATCGCTTGAACCTGGGAGGTGGAGGTTGCAGGGAGCTGAGATTACACCATTGTACTCCAGCCTGGGCTTTGTAGTAAGACTCCATCTCAATAAAGAAAATAAAATAAAATTGTATTTGTCTTTTTTTTTTTTTTTTGAGTCAGAGTCTCACTCTGTTGCTAGGCTGGAGTGCAGTGGTGTGACCTGGGCTCACTGCAGCCTCCGCCTCCTGGGTTCAAGTGATTCTCTTGCCTCAGCCTGCTGAGTATAGGATTACAGGGCTACACTGCCATGCCCAGCTAATTTTTGTATTTTTAGTAGAGATGGGGTTTCACCATGTTGTTCAGGATGGTCTCTATCCCCTGACCTTGTAATCTGCCTGCTTTGGCCTCCCAAAGTGCTGGGATTGCAGGCATGAGCCACCATGCCTGGCCATATTTGTCTTTTTATGAATGAGTTGTAAGAGTTCTTTATATATTTTGGGCCCACATCTCTTATCAGATAGGTAATTTGGAAATATTTTCTTCCATCTGAGTTGTCTTTTCACTTGCTTAGTGGTATAATTTGCAGCACAGTTTTAAAGTTTGATGTAGTTCATCTTTATAGGTCTTAAAGGTTTGAAGCAGTGTTTTAACTTTCAGTTGCATTCTTTGTTCATTAAATAATGATGAAACAAATCTCAAAAGACTATCATTGTATCTCTTAGCCTTTTTGTTGTTGTTGTTGTTGAGACAGAGTCTTTCTCTGTCACCCAGGCTGGAGTGCGGTGGTGTGATCTTGGCCCACTGCAGTCTCTGCCTCCTGGGCTTAAGCAGTTCTCCTGCCTCAGCCTCCCAAGTAGCTGGGAATTACAGGTGTGCACCACCACCATGTCTGGCTAATTTTTTTTTTTTTTTTTTTTTGGTAGAGGCGGGGTTTCACCATGTTGGCCAAGCTGGTCATGAACTCCTGACCTCAAATGATCCACCCACCTTGGCTTCCCAAAGTTCTGGGATTACAGACTGGAGTCACTGTGCCTGGCCTCTCTTAGCCTATTAATTTGGACTCCAGTGAGATGTAGAAATCCCCTTAGATATTTGCATTTTGTTTTATAGGTAATTTGTAACATAGCTATACACACACAGGTAACTGAGATTTCACATTAAGTGTTTATATCTTTTTTTCCTTCAACTTTTAAAGTGTAAGTTCCGGGGCACATGTGCAAGTTTGTTGTATGGTAGACACATACTGTGGTGGTTTGCAGCACAGAACAGCCTATCACCTAGGTATTAAGCCCAGCATCCATTAGTTATTCTTCCTGAGGTGTTTATGTCTAAAGCATACATAAACTCAGATCAAGATGGAGGACATTCCCAACACCCCAGAAGCCTCCTTACCTAGGCCAAATTTTAAGTTAGTATCAAGGAAAGTATGTATGAATCTCTTCTTTTCTTAGTTTTTAAATATGGATGCACTCGGTATTGCTTTAGCCAAATGTTGGCTCTTTAGATGAATGTAAACAGAATACTCTTCAGAGGTGAAATGCTGCACTTAATTCTTCAACAGATTTTCCTGATCTACCTTTTAGGAAAGTTTGCAGGATTTTTTGTGAGAGATTTTCTGATTGGACTTCCTCTTTCACTCAATTTTCTGTGTTTTTGTGAAATCTGTCAGTATGTTGCACCACTTGGTGGCGCTGTTGTGGTGGAAACAGCAGCATCGTGGAAAAGTCAACAGGGCATTTGGTTGTCGATTTCACAGTAAATAACCCCAATCTTTTGTTTATTATATTTCATTTTTTTGGAATCATCTTCTGCTTTAGTATTTTCTATGAAGAAATCCTTTTTATTCTTTAATTGAACCGTAACAGTGTCCTTTCACCTTCATTTTTGTTCTAGGCATTTTTGATCACAGAGATAAGATTAAATAGCTTTCAACAGTCAAATTCTTTAGATTTTAAAGAGAAAAAGAGCAATAGACATTTCTTTTAGAAAGCCAATTGATTAGGAGATAAAAACCCGTAAGAATTTTTTTCCCCTCTCAATAACGGAAGTGTGTGTGTGTGTGTGTGTGTGTGTGTGTGTCTGCATTCTTGTTTCTGCTTACTTGTAGTTAGTGACTGTTTACTAACTTGATGATCATTAACTGCTAGCAGGATACTTAAATGTGTGATTCAGGAGACCTTGAAAACATAAACAAGGTTTTATGATTTAAGGGAAAATAGTATTCTTTTAAAGTGGTTCATGGTTAATTGTTGGTAAATATAATTGTCACCATCTTATTTGATTATGGAATTCAGTTTTCACAGGAAGGATCTAACTGTTTTTCAGTTGCTTTTCAGAACACTCAAATTAGATGAATTGTCCATTTGGCTTAAAATTTAACACAAATTTGCAGTTTATGTGGATTAAAATGTTTTATTTTGTATTATTAATGACTTTCATGTGACTGATGTGATATTTTGCACTCCATCCCTTTTTGGAACTTGTGTATCCTTAGGAAGGTAGAAAGCATTCTAGCAGGACTAGCCTTGAACAACTATATAATTGATTATTTACAACATAACGGATTTTATTTTGTGAAGTAATGGATGAACAGACACATGACTTCAAGATTTAAATAGAGCAGTGTGATATTTTATATCAACTATCCTTTTTATAGGGGTAGAGGATTCTGAGAAAATGCAGTATCTAAGCTTACTTCCATGTGACTGATTCAAAAAGAAACAAAAATCCAAATACTGGAATTACTAAATACCTGGAAAAGCTTAAATGAGTTAAGCTCTCTGAGGAGAATCCTTAACTCATTTTTAAAATCCCTATTAAAGATGAAAGCATTTTCCTGTGTTGTTACCTCAGTGACCTGTACCTGAACAGGTAGCACAAAACTGTCTTGCTATAAAATGCATAGCTAGCCAGGCACAGCGGCCCACGCCTGTAATCCCAGCACTTTGGGAAGCCGAGGTGGGCGGAGCACTTGAGATCCGGAATTCAAGATCAGCCTGGCCAACATGGTGAAACCCTGTCTCTATTAAAAATACAAAAATTAGCCAGATGCTGTGGCAGGTAACTGTAGTTCTAGCTACTCAGGAGACTGAGGCAAGAGAACCTGGGAGGTAGAGGTTGCAGTGAGCTGAGATCATGCCATTGCACTCTGACCTGGGCAACAGAGTAAGACTCTGTCTCAAAAAAAAAAGAAAAAGATAGCTATGTGTGCCTTTTTTGGGGGGGACACAGAAAAGGTCTCAAAGTAGATTGGGCTACTTGGAAGAGAAAATAAAGTGAAGTGCAAGGGACAGACCAATGAACAGAAGAAAAGTGAAATGATCTTAGGCTAGGTAGCATGAGGAAGGAAAAAAGAAGAAAAGTGAAATGACATAGTTTAAGAATTTTTGATCTTGTGTTATCTCAAAGTTTGTTGAAAAATACATAGAAGATCTCTATTGAGTCCCTTGCCCAACTTCCACTGGCCCATAGAAACTATAATTTTGAACCAACAGATCTCTTCGGCATGTGCAATTGCATTTTTCCTGTTTTAACAATGGCTGTGCTAAACGAAGTGGTGAAGCCCAAAGACTTATTTTTGACTTCACTCTAAGACTCTGAGAAATTACGTAGTCCTTCCTGAAACCACTAAGAGGAAAAATGTCTGTGACGTTGCATACAGATGTAGGTGATATTAAAATTGAAGTCTTTTGTGAGAGGACACCCAAAACATGTAAGAATTTCTTGGCTCTTTGTGCCAGTAACTACTACAATGGCTGTATATTTTACAGAAATATCAAGGGTTTCACAGTTCAAACAGGGAGGTCCAACAGGTACTGGAAAAGGAGGTAACAGTATCTGGGGAAAAAAGTTTGAGGATGAATACAGTGAATATCTTAAGCAGTGTTAGAGGTGTTGTACCTATGGCTAATAATGGCCCAAACACTCATGGATATCAGTTCTTCATCATCTATGGCAAACAGCCACATTTGGACATGAAATACAATGTATTTGGGAAGGTAATAGATGGTCTGGAAACTCTAGATGAGTTGGAGAAGTTGCCAGTAAGTGAGAAGACGTATCGACCTCTTAATGATGTGCACATTAAGGACGTAACTATTCATGCCAACCCATTTGCTCAGTAGCTGTAATAGACCTGGACACATAACTTGACAGACTGCTGGAACACACTTACTGTGGTTTATCCGGTTTTAATTATGTCAGAGATTACATCATCCTTCTGCTTGTTCATAACTATGATCTTCTGTGAAATGGTGGTACCAAGGGGCGCCCAACAGCTTTTATTCCCGTTCTTAAAGCATATTTTTTATTATGATTATCCAAAATATTTTAGTTTTAATACAGAAAATATACTGTTTAATTTTTGTTACATATAGAGATTCATTTTTAAATGCTGAGCCTCAAGTGCAGGCGTTTTTGAACAGCCCAATCACGTACTCCTACCACAGCAAGTCCATATCCTGGAAGTGTTATTTTATAATAAAATAAAAAATGTTTTAAAGGAAAAAAAATACATTGAAAAAGACAACTAAGATAAAACTTGGGTGTCGAAATTCAAGATCTGGTTCTGGGAAAAATGAGAAGTGTATAGAAAATTTATATATATATATATATATTTTTTTTTTTTTTTTCTTTTTTTTAATTTTTAAAAAGACGGGGTTTCACCATGTTGGTCAGGCTGGTCTTGAACTCCCAACCTCAGGTGATCTGCCTGCCTTGGCCTCCAAAGTGCTTGGATTACAGGCGTGAGCCACAATGCCCAGCCAGAAAATATATTTTAAAGAAAACGAACATCAAAAAGTTTAACAAATGAGTAGATGATATGCTTAAAAATATTTTAAAACCACTTGAAAATCTCAGTGAAACATATTTTTGAAAAAAATACACATTTTGAAAATTCATTCAAGAAAAAATACCCAGCCGGGTGCGGTGGCTCACACCTGTAATCCCAGCACTTTGGGAGGCTGAGGCGGGTGGATCACGAGGTCAAGAGATCGAGACCATCCTGGTCAACTTGGTGAAACCCCGTCTCTACTAAAAATACAAAAAAAATTAGCTGGGCATGGTGGCGCGTGCCTGTAATCCCAGCTACTTAGGAGGCTGAGGCAGGAGAATTGCCTGATCCCAGGAGATGGAGGTTGCGGTGAGCCGAGATCGCACCATTGCACTCCAGCCTGGGTAATAAGAGCGAAACTCCATCTCAAAAAAAAAAATACCCACATGGAGCAGTAATCATGGAAGAAAGTATTAAAAGTTATCAGTTAATTTCATCTTATAGAGAGTAAGACTAGAAAGCTCTACTGCGTATTTTTAATCTTTTATGGAACAAATAGTATCACTTGTTCCATAGCACAGAAAACTTATGTTATATGTTAAAAATTCTAAGAAGAAGGAGCAGGAAAATCACAAGCATCGATCAATGTCACTTTTGAATGTCAATATAAAAATTGTAAGTAAAACACTAGCAAATCATATTTAATACATAGTATATTAAAAAGAATCCAGCATAACCAAAGAAGATTGATCTTAGGAATGGAAGGATGCTCTAACATAGGAAATCTATTAGTATATATAACGTCAGTAGGAAAGCAAGCAACTATGTGAATGTCCTATTAATTGCATAACAGATATTTGATAAATTAGCTTTTGTTTTATAAAATGTAATATTATTATTACAAAAATAAGATGATATGGGGAAGAATGTCTTAGACTTAATGCTAACAGTGTACTTAAGAGTGAGATACCAGAGATACTTACTTGTCTAACAAATGTGTATATTGAGCATCTGCCTATGTTCCAGGCAGTGTTTTGAGTGCTGGCAAACTGCCATGGAACTTAACACTCTGGTGGGTAGGGGTAACAAATGAGTTAACCATAACAAATACATTATTTACTATGTTAGGTGGTAAATTCCATTTTTAAAAGTAGTGCAGGTAAGGGGACTGTGAGGGGTAGAGTGTGTTAGGTGCAGTTTCCTTGGAGTGTTGAGAAAGGGTCAAAACTTGGAGACTGGAACTCCCCTTAGGGAGGGAGTAAACAGTATGGATGTTTAGGAAAAGCATAATCCAGCCCAAAGCAAGGACCATTGCAGAGCCCCTGAGTGAGAACATCAGTGAGGAGCCAGTGGGACTGATGCAGGCAAACTGGGAGGTAGCAGGAAGAGGGTGGACCAGTCCCTGAGTCTTGAAGATGCTGTTTGCTCCTGTAGAGTTTGTACCTGGGTCTCCTCCCAGTGCACTGCTTTGCCATCTGGGAACCTTTGCTCTTGTACCTGTACTTTAATGACACAAAATTGTGGCAGTGGGAGCAAAAGAACTTCCACATAGATTTAAATACTGTATTTGAATTTGGCTATTGATTATGAGCTAAAAAAGAATACTTTGTTGTTAAATGCATGTGGAAAATGAATGAAAAGCCATATTCTAACTAAAATTTGTAAATTTAATGTTAGTGTAAATTCATATTTTATGTAAGAACATTAAATGCTCATTTTTTTCTTAACACTAGGAACATGAGGATAATTATTACATATTTATGAGAGAACCTTACAGGGGCCGGTTGCGGTGGTTGATGCCGGTAATCCCAGTACTTTGAGGGGGCCAGGGCAGTTGGATCACGAGGTCAGGAGTTCGAGACCAGCCTGGCCAATATGGTGAATTCCTGTCTCTACTAAAAATACAAAAATTAGCCAGGCGTGTTCGCGCATGCCTGTAGTCCCAGCTCCTCAGGAGGCTGAGGCACAAGAATCATTTGAACCCAGGAGGCAGAGGTTGCAGTGAGCTGAGATTGCATCACCACACTCCAGCCTGAGCAACAGTGTAAGACTCCATCTCAAGATAAAAAAAACAGAGTACCTTACAGGAACACTTTCTTTTTGTATTATCTTTAGGGAGTGGTATGACCTACTTTTAAAGTAGTGCATTTTCCATGTGACAGCAGCTTAGACTTTAATTTGATAAAACCTTAAAAATACTTTAAACATTTAAATTTTACCATTAAATGTTTGTATGTAATGGATTACACTTTTTGCTGTTTATTTAAAGAAAGATAGGATTTATTTAAATTTACGGTGATATTACTACAAAGCTACCATAATGCTGATTCTCTCAGCATCTGTTCCCTTATTTCTGAAATGGTATGTGTAATATATGTACCTTATAGTGTTGTTATTAGGCTTAACAAGTTGAATAATATGTATATAAGATGCCTAGGACAGGGCCCAGCACATTAGCAAGAATTAATTTGCTTAGAAATTATAAGGCCGGGCGCGGTGGCTCATGCTTATAATCCCAGCACTTTGGGAGGCCGAGGCAGGTGGATCACGAGGTCAAGAGATTGAGACCATCCTGGTCAACAAGGTGAAACCCCATCTTTACTAAAAATACAAAAATTAGCTGGGCATGGTGGTGCACGCCTGTAGTTCCAGCTACTTGGGAGGCTGAGGCAGGAGAATTGCTTGAACCCAGGAGGCGGAGGTTGCGGTGAGCCGAGATCGTGCCATTGCACTCCAGTCTGGGTAAGAACAGCGAAACTCCATCTCAAAAAAAAAAAAAAGAAATTATAATAGCCCAAGTCTTTGAGGAGTACCATGTTTCTGAAGCTTTTAGTTATGAATTTAGTCGGTTTCCTCCCATTAACCATACCTTACTTCTTTATTTTAAAATTTTTTTACCTGTTTGAGACAGTCTCACTCTGTGGCCCAGGCTGGAGTGTAGTGGCATGGTCTTGGCTCACTGCAACCTCTTCCTCCCAGGTTCAAGTGATTCTTACACCTCAGCGTCCCATGTAGCTGGCATTACAGGCACGTGGCACCACACCCAGCTAAATTTTGTATTTTTAATAGACATTGGGGGGTTTCACCATGTTGGCCAGGCTGGTCTTGAACTCCGACCTCAGGTGATCCGCCCATCTTGACCTCCCAAAGTGCTGGGATTACAGGCCACCATGCCCGGCCTAACCATACCTTTCAAATTTATTTCCAACCTTCTTTCTTCACTGTGTCTCTTCTAGCTAAGGGTTAATGTATCCATCCAAGGAACTCTCCAGACCAGCCTGACCAACATGGAGAAAACCCATCTCTACTAAAAATACAAAATTAGCTGGGCATGGTGGCGCATGCCTGTAATCCCAGCTATTCGGGAGGCTGAGGCTGGAGACTGTATTGAGCCCAGGAGGTGGAGGTTGCCTTTCATGGTATGAGGTCTTTTTCCTGATGAGCAAACATTATCACATATTATTGTATGGTACAGTGATCCACTCAGCACTTTTTTTTTTTTTGAGATGGAGTTTCCCTCTTGTTGCCCAGGCTGGAGTGCAATGGCGCAATTTTGGCTAACTGCAACTTCTGCTTCCTGGGTTCAAGTGATTCTCCTGCTTCGGTCTCCTGAGTAGCTGGGATTACAGGCACCCGCCACCATGCCTGGCTAATTTTTGTATTTTTAGTAGAGATGGAGTTTCACCATATTGGCCTGACTGGTCTCCACTGGCCTTGGCACTCTCAAAGTGCTGGGGTTATAAGTGTGAGCCATCGTGCCCGGCCTCCACTCAGCGATAATTAAGACTTGTATGATTATATGCTTCTGTTCTAATTGGCTTTAAGCTCTACTAGTTTTTGAGCTCTTATGTCTAATTTTTATAGTTTTTAGCTTCCTTTCTCACTGTCAGTTATATTACTTGCTGCTGTTGGTACAGCTGCTTTTTATCACTTCTTCACTACTTCTGATCCTCGGAGTCTTATCTGCTGAGTGTTGAGTCATTGAGTAATCAGATTTTATAAAATAACATCCGTGGCAGGAATAGAAAATAAATTTTAGGTTGTGTGTTGATTCCAACTAGCAGTGGTCACTTGGTGGAGTGCTGTGCTAAGCAGGATTCTGGAGCCTCATTCCCGTGTAATGGGAAAGAGTGCTCTGACGATGGAAGAAGGCGGCAGTGTGAGTGCCACGGATTTGCCATTTACTGTCTAAATTAAGATACTGGCCAGGTGCGTGGCTCACACTTGTTATCCCCGCACTTTGGGAGGCCAAGGCAGGCGGATCACCTGAGATCGGGAGTTCGAGACCAGCCTGACCAACATGGAGAAAACCCATTTCTACTAAAAATACAAAATTAACTGGGCATGGTGGCACATGCCTGTAATCCCAGCTATTCGGGAGGCTGAGGCAGGAGACTGGCTTGAGCCCAGGAGGTAGAGGTTGCAGTGAGTCGAGATTGTGTCATTGCACTCACTATAGCCTGGGCAAAAAGAGCAAAACTCCGGCTCAAAAAAAAAAAAAAAGTCGGAGGATCTGAATGGGTTCTGTAGTTCTGTAGTGAGTGAAATACATGTTAGTGTATGGATTTTGTGATACTGTTTTGCCTTCCTAAAGACTTTTTCAGTTACCACACACACACACATTTACCGAGGTGGAATCTCACTGTCTGTGCAGACACACGCACACGCACGCATACACATTTACTGAGATGGAATCTCGCTCTCTGTGCAGATGCACACGCGCACACA